GGACAAAGGGAGTAACTTGGGTGAAGCCCAGTAGACTCCCTGAGTTAAGAAGCCCAAGGAGACCAAAATAGTTAGTGCTCTCAGGACAGAGTGCCAGAGAGTGTTAGGTAAGATGTCCTGTAATATCACTGGAAGGTAGATCACGAGAAGTTAAAATGGATGCTGTGAATAGAAAGCAACCACTAAAAAAATAAAGAGTTACAGCTAATAAGCCAACAAAAGAACTAAAGTGTAACTGTTACATGTGGGGGCAATGATCAGGCGGGGGCTGGTGGCTCGGGTGGTGGAAGGATTCCACCTGAGGCAGAACAAAGGAGAATGAAGTTTATTAAACTCACTGTAAGGGAGCAGCAGGTGGGACAGCAGAGGGGAGGCTGTGGGACAGCAGAGGGGAGGCTGTGTGCCAGGACGTGGTGGTGGGGGCTAGACTTAAGGGGGAGGTGAGGAGGTATGGGAACATACGGAATTGCCCTTTTATGGTACCTTGCGAGTGGCCCATTGGTGAGTTAGGGTCTGTGACTATTTCAAGGTCGGTCTTCTGATGGGACTGTTTGCATTCAGCACAGGGGTCGCTGTGGGTCCTTATGCCTTACTCATGTTTTCATCGCTCAAGCCTGTTGCCTAAGACTGGCCTCTATGCTACAGACTGAATGTGCCCCCGCCATCCTCACTGCCCAAATACCTATGTTGAAACCTAACTCCCAATGTGATTATATTAGGAGGCGAGGTCTTTGGGAGGTCAGGAAGGTAAAGCCCTCATTGGTAGAATTTGTGCCTTATAAAAGACGCCCCAGAGAGCTCCATCCCCCTTCCCACCACGTGAGGACACAGAGAGAAGACCTATAGTCTGAGTCTATAAACCTGGAAGCAGGTCCTCCCCAGACACTGAATCTGATGCCACCTTGACCTTGAAATTCCCAGCCTCTCCAGATCTGTGAGAAATGATTCTCTGTGTTTATAAGCTGCCCTTTCTCTGGTATTCTTTTCTAACAGCCGATGGTCTAAGGCAGGAATCATTAAAAAGAAAAAAAATCTAAAAAATGGCAGGGAAATACGGAAAGGAGAATAAAAAGCAAATAGGATGAACAGAAACCAAAGAGCAAGATGAGAGATTTAAGCCCAAACATATTAATGGCTATATTAAAAGTGAATGGCCTTTGTATGATTTCATATGATTACATAGAGGCAAGAGAATTATACGGAAGACTAGGCACTAGGCTATTTACATTTGTTATTTGGGAGTCCGGGGGCAAGGGGTGTCAGCTTTCTCTCTCTATTTGTATTGTTCAGTTTGTTACACTATGCATTTCTTACGCTCTTCAGATAAATTGAAAAACATGAGAATCTGTAATCAGAGCAGTTAGATCCCCTTGTCTCTGGCTCTATCTGGCATATCTGGCTAGTTATTGCTGCTTATCATTTTCAATCCTATTCCTAGAAGATTAAATTTTGTCCTCTGGTGAAATGGAGAAAATAAATAAAATGCAGCACTATCTGCAGTCTAACTCGATGAGGTAGGGGGGAGGCTTGTGGTTAATATCACAATCTGCCTCGGTCGTTTGGCTGGCGTTCTCCATGACTTCCTGCAAGCTCTCTGATCTCCAAAGGCAGAAGCTGCTCATTATTTCCCAATATCTGTTCTCTGCTCCTAAAGTAAATCCTCAATTTTTAGCTGGGAACATTGCCTTCCTGGAATAAAGACTTCATTTCCCAGTCTTCTTCGTAGACAGGAGGGGTCATAGGACGGAGACCTGTCCAATGGGATGTGTGCAGAAGTGACTTGTGCCTCTTTCGGATTGTGCCCTACAAGAAAGCTCATTCTAGGCTCTTCCTTTTCCTTCTTACTGCCGAGTAAGGGACAGATGTGGGGCTGGCTATCTTGGGAGAGTACAGGAGTAATCTAGAAAGAGCTTAGTTTTCTGACTCCCTTGGAGTTGCCCAGAGGGTTGTGTGAGAAAAAAAAAAATCGTCTATGATTTTTTTTTAAGGTACTGTTGTTTTGTCATCTCTATTTACAGCAGTTTCATCCACATCCTAAATAATGTGGTTCTGTCCATTTTTAGTTCTCCTTTTGTAATTAGCATTGGAATGCTCCTAAATGGAGTGCTCCCATTTATTATTTTTAAAAAGATTTTATTTATTTATTTATTTATTTATTTATTTAAGAGAGAGAGAGGGGTGGGGCAAAGGGAGAGAGAGAGTCTCCAGCAGACTCTGTGCTCACTGCAGAGCCCCAGGTGGGGCTCAATTTCACAACTCTGAGATTATGACCTGAGCCTAAATCAAGAGTCAGATGCTGAACTGACTAGCCCTTCCCCCACCCCCCGCAGGTATCCTGCTCCCATTTATTTTATTTTCTATTTATTTTATTTTTTTAAAAGATTTTATTTATTTGACAAAGATCACAAGTAGGCAGAGAGCCAGGCAGAGAGAGGGGGGGAAGCAGGCTCCCTGCTGAGCAGAGAGCCCGATGTGGGGCTCAATCCCAGGACCCCGAGATCATGACCCAAGCCGAAGGCAGAGGCTTAACCCACTGAGCCACCCAGGCGCCCTGCTCCCATTTATTTTAAAGTAAATTCCTTGTCATCTTGATATTAGAAGATAATCATAAGACTTTTATTTTCTCTCTTATCAGAGAAGAAAAGAAAAAAATTGAATTCATAAACCAATCTAAAGCCTAGTCTTTGGGGGAAAAAAAAAAGATATATCTCTGGTTGTGTTAATCATTACAAAACAGATAACAATTCTGGGAAAATTCTCTAAAAAATAGATGTGGACATTTAAAGTAATAGGCCTAATTTAAAAAAAAAACCAACCTTGGTAAAAATCATAAAAATACTGAATTGAAGAATAATTTGGTAAAAATATAGATTACCAAAATCAGCTTAACAGGAAGAAAAGAACAAAACAAAAGACACGAAACCCCAAGAGAATTAACCTGTAAAATTTCTACACTCAGAAGTTTCACAAATGAATCTTTCTGAATGTTTTTTAACAGGATAATTTTTGCTGTTTGTAACTATCTCTAGAACAAAAGCTGTAAAGCTATAAGCTTTGCTGAATCTGCAAAGGACTCAAATCCCTGATGCCCAAACCTGACACAGGAAGGAGAAACAAAAGGAGAGGCAACTTCTTGTAACAAAACAATAGGATTACCTTTTTTTTTTTTTCTTTAAAAGATCATGAACTAAATCTAAGAGTATATTCTAAAAGCTCTTATAGGCTGTACCCAATAAGGCATCATGAATTCACTGATAAGAAACTATTTGAATATATTAGTAGTTAAAATTTAAATTTATATCATTTTATTGTTTTAAAAAATCACATGATAGCATTCATTGCCCTGACCTCTCTCTCTCACACGCAATACATATATGTCCTAAAGAGTATCTCTTTTAGACCAATATCATACTTGGTTGTTCAAATTCTATAGGCAATTCCAGCAACCTTGTAAAATCAGTACAATTTACTGGCACTATTTTATAACATAGGATCTCCCAAAGCATTAAGCTTTAATAACTTAAGAGTTCAAGTGCTACAAGCATACGAAAAGCATCATTTTAAGCTTTAAATTCCTTTACCTTCACTCGGTGAATTTTGAATAATAAATGTTTAATGGCAAATGATGAGGGGAATATCACACAAAAAGAGTAGCTGGCCAGAAGAAATAGAATGTATGGAAAAAAACCTTGACAAATATATCTCTGAAAATAAACACCAACCAAATGAGAATAGGCAAAACCTATTTATTCAGAATTTGCTATACCAAAGGAGTCAGTCAATGTTCCTTGCATTTCGGCAGAAACTCAAAGTCAGGCAGGGGAATGAGAAAGTTCTACAGTGGGGGATGAAAGGAAGGCTTCCAATATGCCTTCATTGGAGGCTGGTGGCAGGAGAAGTCTGGAGGCTAGCACTGGCAGTGAGGCATCCTGTGTGATGGGTTAGCAGTGTATAATCAATTTTTTTTCTCTGGTTGATCCCGAGTTAGAAGCGAGGATGAACTTTAGGAAAGCTGTCAGTTATTGATGAAGTCCTCATTATTTGGGGCTGTTAGAAAAGGGATTGTTGGTGGCGCCTGGGTGGCTCACTGGGTTAAAGCCTCTGCTTTCGGCTCAGGTCATGATCCCAGGGTCCTGGGATCGAGCCCCGCATCGGGCTCTCTGCTCGGCGGGGAGCCTGCTTCCTCCTCTCTCTGACTGCTTCTCTGCCTACTTGTAATCTCTGTCTGTCAAATAAATAAATAAAATCTAAAAAAAAAAAAAAAAAAAAAAAAAGGGATTGTTCAGCTTCCGGGACCGTGGCTGGAGATTTGCAATCTGGCTCCCAGCGTTGTTCACTGCGGACAAGGGAGTTGGTTTCTGGGGAGGCTGCGCTGCTGGTAGGTCAGAGTCCCTTCTCTGTCCATGGTTCGGCTGTTGTGCACTTGTATATTCAGTATCTCCTATGCATAACCTCAGGACGGCCTTATTCCACCATAAGCCGTAGACCGAATAGTTAGGCAAGGGTTCCCTGAGACCTGAGAATTATTTCAAGGGTTCCTCCAGAGTGAAAATATTGAGAAAGGCTGACTCTGATTCCTCATCTGTGAAATGAGGAGTGAAGGATAGGAGTGGTTTTTGTTTGTTTGTTTTTACAAAATCAAGTGCCCAACATGGAGCCCCTCAGGTAGTAGTAGACTTCTGGGGAGGTGGTGTACGGACAAGCCCAGGTTGGCGCCCAAATGGGGCCAAGGGGGGACAGCCATAACCCATCCCTCAACAGGGCACAGGGCTAGGGACAGCCCGGATCCGATCTCGTGGGAAGACCCTAGGGCGACTGCCGCCGGCAACAATGTGCGAGAGGGTGCATTCACTCACATCCCGGGGGACCACTGGGGGGGGCCACAGCGCCTAGCCCGCCGGCCCACACCAGCTACTCCGTGGCCGGAAATGTGTGGACCGCCGACCGGAAGTACCTCATCGCGGAGACTCCCGGGAATTGTAGTTTCATCCAGTCCAGGGGCATCTCGGCTGTGTCTGGAGGTCTCCGAGAGCGGTGTGCGCACTTCCGGACCTCAGGCTGGGCTCGCGGTGGTCAGCACCTTGGACCTGGCGGGTCCTGAGGCCCCCGCGGCATCTGGGACTGGCTATTCCCTCCGCCTGAGCGGTAGAGAGGGCACGTGTGGCAGAGCCACGGCTGCAGAGCTGGCGGACGCTGGGAGGGGTGCTGTGCTGGGTGGCGGGTGGTGCGGGGGGGGGGGGGGGGGGGGGGGGGGGCTCCGTCTGACGTCTACTGGGGAGGGTCGGGGTTCCTGTCTGGTTTGGGGCGGGGGCCGTGGGCAGGCTGGTCTCACTGCTTTTCTGCCGTCCTGCAGCCAAGCCTCGTCGGAGCCCACGGTCCGCAGGGGGCTTGGTGCGGTGGACCCAGTGACAGCCGTGGCCCTGGTGAGCTCGGGGGCAGCTCTACCCCCAATGGTCACCCCTCTTTCCCGATGGTGTATTTGTTTCCATCCCTTGACCTGGAGTTTCTCTGCCCATCCAGGTCCCTGAACTCCGCTGGTGCAGCCCGGCCTCCCGTGGCTGAGGGACTGCTGAGGAAGGAACCCCCTCCTGTCCGACCCTCTGTCACTCCTTCAGACCCCACGTCGCAGCCAACGGTAGGCTCTGAGCTATGAGGGCAAGGAAGGAAGGATGTGAAATGATTGGTACTTCATGGATCTGCGGTGGCAGTCATCATCCGACAAACATTTGTTGAGTGTCTGGGACAGGCACTGGGGAAGCACCGAGTCCCATCCTTGGCTAGAACCCTATGGAGGTGTCCGTCCTGTGAAGAGATAAGGGCCACACCAAGGTGTGGGTGCTCTGATAGTTATCCCTACTGGATGAAGGGACCCCCAGGCAGGAGGTCAGTTCCTGCTGGGGGAAGCGTGACTGAGTATCCGACTTGAAATAAGGTCTCCATGGGTGACAGGGGGCAAAAGGATTAGGGGTAGGGAACAGTCTATGCAAAGGTAAGAGGCCCCCATGAAGCGTGCAGGTACTGCTGGATTTTGCACCATGGCAGAGCCTGGGGGCAGTGTGGTGAGGCTGGAGGCTGGAGGTGGTTTTGGGGAACATATCAAGCTGGGCTAGCGGCTACAGACTGGGTTCCATTAGCACCTGAAGTGTTTTAGGCAAGGCAGTGGGGTGATGAAATTTCTCTTTTGGTGTGAATATGACCAGCAGTGAGTAGAGTTGATGTGGACTGAGCTAAGGGGGTAGGAAAAGTGAGTGGAGGAAGCCAGGCCAGCGCTGGCGAGGGTGAGAGAAGCGGGGGGTGTGCGAGTGCATCCGATTGCAGAGTGTCAAAGAAGGCAGGAGGCAGACACGGTTCAGTGTAGATGGTTCTTTCCCCACACTCCACGAAGAGAGGTAGAGCCACAGTGGGGGTACCCGGAGATGCAAAGATGGGGCTGGATCTGTAGTTCTTTGAGACTTTTTTGCTCAAGATACAGAACACACTTGAGCCGGGGCGGGGAGGGGGTGAAGTGAAACTGGTACTATAGTTCTGCATCTTGATGAGGCTTATCAGTTGTTTCCATCATGACTTGAATTTGGGTCTTCTTCTTTTTTTTTTTTTTTTAAAGATTTTATTTATTTATTTAACAGACAGAGATCACAAGTAGGCAGAGAGGCAGGCAGAGAGAGAGGAGGAAGCAGGCTCCCCGCCGAGCAGAGAGCCCGATGTGGGGCTCGATCCCAGGATTCTGGGATCATGGCCTGAGCCGAAGGCAGAGGCTTTAACCCACTGAGCCACCCAGGCGCCCCGAATTTGGGTCTTCTTGAAGGAGGTTTTCTTCTATCACAACCCATAATCTTTTCTTAACTGTTTTCAGCTAGTCCCTTTAGAAAAGATCTCCAAGTACAGTGAAGTGAGAAAAGGAAACTTTTTGCAGTCACCATTTAGACGGAGGAGATGTGAAAAGTTTGTTTGATTTGGATTTTCTAAAGATCTAAAACCTTATAAGTACCATTGGAGCTATTTTAATATCACCCCTCATTCCATTTCCCTTCCTCCATGGGTAACAACCCCTGAGATTGCTTTATTCTTACATGTTATTTACTTACTAGATGTGAATGTGGTCATGAACAATATATTGTTTTGTGTGTTCATTACCTTTGCCTGTATTTCTTTGGCTGTGTCTTTTTCTCATTTATTTCTAGTATTTTTTTCATATATTCCAGATACAAATCCATTTATGGCTTATGCACGTTGCAAAAATCTTGACTAGATTTTGATTGAGACTGGTGTTTCCTTGATGGATCTATTTCTGAGTACCGATCCATTTTATTTAATGTTTAGTGGTGGTTGGTTTTTTTTCTTTTTTTCCAGTTTTCTGTTGCTTTGTCAATTTTAGGATTTGATATTTTTCTAGGAAACTGTCCAGTTTAATTTCCAATTTATGGCATTGCATTGTGTTTAGTGATCTTGTAACTTAAAGACATCTCTGCTGTATCTGAAATTTGTCTTTTTCTCATGTTTAAAAATTGGATTTTTGACTCCTCTTGCTTTTTTGATCAATGGTGCTCGAACTTAGTCTATTTTATTAGTTTTAAACATAAACCAGTTATGTTACTAGTTTTAATCTTTTCGAAGAATTGATTGTATTTTCTTCTTCACGGTTTTTTATTTGGGCAGAGCTTCCGAAGTAAAGAAAAGTCACAATGGTAGAATGTACAGAGAATTCCTGAACACTTTTCATCTGAATTTCTCAAATGTGAGCATTTTACCACATTTGTGTAGGGGGCTTGAGGGATTTCAGGGCCGATTAAAGAAAAAGATACGACTGTGTGACCAGGAGCACACACAAGCTTTATTTAAGCGTGCAAGTGAGGGCGAGGTCCCTCACAGCATGAAACCATCCAGAGGTTAGGGCCAAGGGGTCCCCTTCCCAGAAGGGAGGAGGACAAGGATACCCCTGGGTATCTCTGGCTCAGAGGTTCTTGGGGTCTCTCTAGCCACATGGTGTATTTTATCTCTGGCTACCTGATGCTGGCTACAGATGCATGGGGTAGGCAAAGCAGGCTGGCTCTAAATGACTAAAAATCTGTTTCTATTTGGCTTGTCTTTAACATGAATGCACATTAACATTGGAGTTTGGTGCTACTGGTCTTTTGAGCTGCTGGTCTCAGCCTGCTAGGGTCCACTCCACAGAGGCCATCATTGAATCATACATAGACAACTTGCTTTCTCCTTTTCCTCTCCCCTCCATATATATGCGTGTGGGTACACACTTCGTGTGAATTTCCCAAAACCAAGGCCATTGTGTCACGCAGCCACAGGATAATGATCAACACCAGGAAATTAGCACTGATACAGTACTGTCCACAGATCTTACTCACAATTTGCACCCGTCGTCTCAGGGAGACCCTTTCTGACTCAAGGAGATCTCCAATCATGCGCTGCTTTTATCCCTCCAGTGTCCCTTTGTCATCTTTTCTCTGGAACAGATCCGTAGTCTTTCCTTGTCTTCAATAGAATAGCAATTTTGACGAATCCAGGCCAGTTGTTTTGTGGAATGTTCCTCAGTGTAGTTTTGTTGAATGTCTCACCATGATTGCATTCAGGTAATACATTGGTGGCAGGATTTTTTTTTTAAGCCGTTCTATTATTTCTTTGATTTCCTCTTTTTAAAATCTCTGCTCAAAAAAAAAAAAAATCTCTGCTCATACTTGTTTCTTTTATGGCTTTTGGGTTTACATTTTTCTGTGCTGGCCTCCTGCGATGCGTGTCGTTAATTTTCCATTTTTATCTAATGAGTATCTTAGGGCTGTAATTTTTTGTTAAAGTATCTTAGGGCTGTACTTTTTTTTTTTTAAAGTGTGTCTTTGTAACTATATCTCCATTTTGATGTGTAATATTTTTGCAGTCATTGTTATAAATAATTCTGCATTCTTATTATTTTCTAGTTGTATTGCTTTTTGGTTTAGAGAGTGGCATCTATGCAATATTCATTTTTAACATATCTGTCGAAGTTTATTCTTAGCTTTTTTAGGTCAGTTTTTATAACTATCCCAGATGTGCTTAAAAAGAATTTATATTCTCTTGTTATCAAGCGCATTCTTCTGTCCGATCCCATAGGTCAAGTTTTTAAATTGTTAACCAAATGTTGTATACGCTTGCTATTTGTTTTTTGTATCCGGAATCTTCATTTCTAAAAACACGTGCTAGAATCTTTTCACTATGATAGGGGATTTGTTGGTTTCCCCTGCGTGTTTTACATGTGCTTGGGCTACGTATGCCTCCCATCCGTGTGTTCGTGTGCCCAGACTCAAGATCAAGTTGGCCTCTGGCCCTTGCTTTGTCTCTGCAGTGGGTGTCTCTCTTGCTTTTTGTAATTTTTTTTTTCTTTTTTAAATGAATGTGGGGCATTGTTGGGGGGTGGGAGTGGAGCCCTCTGCTCCCCTGTTGCTGTACGTGGGGCTTGGAGGCTGGAGGTTGGTCTCTGCAAGACCGGTTAGGAGGGGACAGGGCTGGCATTTCCTGTTGCTCTGGTTACGGTCTGGCCGTAGCCTCACTCCATGCCTCGAGTGGGCTGCTCACTGTTCCCTGCTGTTACTTTCTCTCCGTGCTGATGCTTGGCTTGTTTCTCAATGCTGCTTGGGCTGGTGGTAGGGGGCCCTGCGTCCCTGAGTCAAGGGGCTGGCACCTTGTCAGGGCTGCTGCCCCTCCCTCTGGAGTAGGAGCCTAGGACACATGCCTGCTCCCTTCCCACTGGGGAGTTTTTTTCCCCCCTTTTCCCTGTCAGGAGCTGGCAGTCTCACCTGTGCTCGGGAAGCAACAGGTTTTGTTGCCCTTCCCTTGGTGCAGTATAAGACTTTGTTCCTCAGAAGTTTCTGGAAGGATGGGGCTTCCCCGTGTTTTCCACAATGGCAGCCATTCTCCTCCTCCAGACCTTTGCTACCCAGGGAGTCTCTCTATGGTCTCGTGCCCAGCCCTAAGCCTTCTCCTGAGCCCTCCGCAGAGGCCTGGGTCCCAGATGACCCCACACCCAGTGATTTAAAGCAACACCCACTGTCACCTCGCAGCTCTGTCCAGTCCAGAGGGACGTGACTGGCTGTCATTCCGTTCAGGTCTTCCAAGGCCAGAATCAAAGCGTGGGACCGTGGGCCTCTTCCCCGGGGCGCTCAGGGTACAGTCTGTTCCAGGCTCATGGGGGTCGGCAGAAGTCAGCATCTGGTGGTTTGAGGCCCAGGGCCCCTGATTCCTAGTTTGCTGTCAGCTGAGGTTTCTCTGGGCTCTTCACACGGGCTGGCGTGGGGTCCTTCTTGTGTTTACACTTCTCTGCCCCGAGTCAGAGGTAGATGTCCTGCCGATGTTCTCACGTGAGTCTCACCACACTGTCTGTCTGTTTGCAGGTCTTCTTAGCGTCTTGGCAAAGGCTAAGGATCAGGCTGGGACCGGGTGGCTCAGTCTGCATATTCCAGCTCCTTTCTACCCCCAGACTGCCTGGAAGCAGGAGCTGAGCCTCCGCCCCGCGGTAAGTTCTCCGCAGGAGAGCAGAGCTTTGCCAGTCCTCAAGCCCCAGGCACCCCACCAATAGGTTAATTCTTGTAAAGGTGACCCGGGGAGCAGCAATCTACTTTGGACGCAGGGCACCCTCTCTGAGCTCCCCCTTAGAGCTTAGGGCTGAAGCTGGAGGTCCACGCAGTACAGGGCAGCCCCCAGAAAAGCGTCCCTAAAACAGCCAAGGACCTGCTTGCGGACGGTGAATTTGGGGGATGCCATCATATCGGGATCATCTAGGATTTGGTTTAGGGGAAGGTTTGCTAGCTGGAGAGGGATCCCCTGCTTTAGGGTATGAGAAACAGGAGCAAGGGAAGGGATCCCCGCGACTCTTGGAGGATGGCGCCCCCCACCCACCTCCCCACCCCCCATCCCCACTGCCCCGCACTCCACTCGTGAGACATAGACCCTCCTCGTATAGTCCAGGCATAGAAGTTGTTTTCTTAACCTAAGAGTATTTCATTTTTCCTTCTCATGTTAAAGACGAAAGAAAATGCGCGTGAGAGCGGTGTTCAGAGCCGCCCAGCTCTCTAGAGGCCGAGCCAGCTCTAGCGCCCAGGGCTCCCGTCCGCCAGGCGGCGGCTTCCTCCCGTGCGCCTCGGGTCATCGCTAAAACCCGCCCCTTCCCACCTTCCACCCCTTCAGACCCTCCCACGGATTTCCTCTCCTCCAGGGGAAGGACTCTGATAGGCGGTCATGGAGAGAACACCCAGTAAGATGATATATTTTTATGAAATATTGAAATATTGAACAGTGAGCATATGTCGATTGTCTTAAAAAAAATTAGTTAAATGCCACGGTTTCAAAACGGAGCCGACCACGCGAAGGTCACTGTTGTTAACATTGTGTGTGTTTTGTGCAGAATTTTTTTCTTTATATGTTTTTACAAAAACCCACTCTACAGGCTGAAATGGGATGTGCACAAACAGGAGAGAGAGGAGAGTGTCCCCTCTGACCAGGGTTATGGACCCACACTCTTGGGTCTGCATTCCTGTCCTCATTTCCCTGGAGGCGCCAGGACAAAGTACTACAGACGGGGGCGGCTTGAAGCTCAGGGATGGGATCTGTCTCAGCTCAGGTTGGGCTGGGGCTTGTTCCTTCTGAGGCCGTGCTGGGGCACCTGCTCTGGGCCTCTCCCCTGCTTCTGGGGGCTTGCCAGCAGTCCTTGGCATTTCTGCCTTCATCTTCTCTGATGTTCTCCCTGCGCCCAGTTTTCCCTTTTCACAAGCATGCCAGTCTCACTGGGTTGGGGCACCCTCCATCATCATCTGCAAGGACTCTATCTCTAAATTAGGTCACATTCGGAGACACCAAGGGCTAGGATCCCCGGCATATCTTCTTGGGGGACAGAGTTCAACTCAGAACACGTCCCTGCCAGGAGGAGCTCTCTGGTAACCCAGAGTGGTTCAGTCACTTGAAGTTGTGATGAAGACCAGTCTTTGGCTGGCTGCTGTTGGTCTAGCGCACAGCTCACTCTCCTGCCCAGTTCTGAGCTTCCCCTGCTCCCCGCTGTGGGGCTGCAGGTCTTCATTCCCCAGATGGAAGGCCTGTGATTGCTTCTGCCTCTCCTCTTCCTTAACCCTTCGTTCTCCTCATCGGACTGCTTCTTTCTTCACCAGGGGCAGGGCAGGAGGAGGGGAAAATAGCACAGATGTCTCCTTGCTTGGTTCTCTTGGTAGCTTCACCTGCCTAGCTGGCTGCCCTCGGTCATGCTGGAAGCCACCTGATGGCCTTTTGGGGGTGCAGAGCTTGTGATACCAGCCCAGGCTGTCTGGCAGATCTCGGTGCCCAGCCCCAGTTCCTGGCTCAGTGGTCCTTCTTCTCTGTGTCCTTGCAGTAGAATTCACGCCCACCTACCTTCCCACCCTCCAGGTGCCACCAGGAACTCTCACATCCTGTTCCAACACATGGAGGCTGGGCACAGGGCTCCTGGTCCTGCCCCCTCTCTTCACCTGATCACCATGGTGGCCCTTGCTGGCCTCTAACTTCTGAGTTCCTTGGTTGCAAGGCTCACTCTTGCTGCCGGGCTCCTGCATGCACAAAGTTGTCCCCGGAGAGCACGCCCCCCCTTGTCTGCTGAACCACCATGTGCCCCAGAGTTCTGCACCTGGGCACACATCCAGCCCATGGTGGGGGCAATTTTACCCCCCCTACTTTTTGCAGGCTCCCTCTGGTTCTCTTGTAACCACCCCCCTTGGCATGGGAAAGAAGCAAAACCCCACGTACACCTTCAGTAGACACCTCTCCTTCTGCCATTCCTTCTCCAAAGGGAGGCATCTGTCAGGTTGGGTCTAGCAGCTCCCCCGGAGAATTTGGGGTGTTTGGGAATTTAGCTGAAACTCCAGGGACCTGGGAAAATCCCATCCATCTACCTGATACCCATCTGTGAATCACGTGTTTATGGATTACATATCCTCCTTTTTTTTCTTTCCCCCACTTACTGGTCTAGCCAGAAGCGATTTCCATGTCTGATAGTTTCTTGTATGATAGTTTAAATTGATGCGTAGCATGGCATGCTTGAATTGTATCAAACTTGACTGACTAATCTCTTATTTTTAAAAATGTAGGTAGTCTCTAATTAAAACCAAAACACCCTCAGAATTCTTTACGGAGTTTCTATAACTCTAGAGTTTTAGTGTCTCTGCAGACTTCTCGGACCCAACTCCCGCGTGTCTCTGTCCCGAGTAGGAACATACGTAAGATCAACCTCGTGTGTGTTCAGGAGAGAGATAGGTGTGGGGTCCAGTTGACGCTTCCAGCCACAGTAAATTTGCTCCTGAACCTTCGTGTTCCTGTTCCCTGGCAAAATGAGGAAAGGAGGAGGAGGGCTCAGGAGAAGCCATCAGATCTTGTCCCATATTTGGTAAGTGGCAGAGCCAGACCGGGACTGCTTCCCGGGCAGAAGTCAGCACAGATGAGCCAGGGCGGTTGTGATGAGGAGTGACAGCGGACAGACCGCCGGTGCGGGAGGAGGAGCGCACGGAGCCCCACACGTCCGGGGAGGGCCTGGAGGGCCACGGCTCCTTGCCCCCCGCCCGCCCTAGCTGAACTCCATTTAATGGACTCGGCCTTCAGGAACCCATTTTTATATTTTCCTGGGAGTGGTCCTCAATGACTGCCAGGGGCAGGCCTGGTGACGAGCTTTGGGTTAGAAGCTTAGTAGACAACAAATGTTTTAAAAGTAACATTTATATGCGAAGTGCCTGGTAGTCATAGAAAAAGTTAGGAAATTCATCTAAGGACAAAGAAAGTATTTTATAAAGTGGTCGTGACCCAACTGCCCAGAGCTAACCACTAGCCTTTTTGTCTTACATCATTTCAGAGATTGTTCTGCGTGAGCATGTGTGTGTGCATGCGTCTGTGTGTGTGGGAGCCGGTAGTTTCCGGCCACCTTTTTATTCAGTGATGAGTATGCTGTCGCTAAAATAGTTTTCCATGATTTTATTTTCATAAGTTACATAGCGGGTTCATTTCCCTTTGGAGGTAGTGTGTTTACTCATCCTCCTTCATTGGTTGTTATTTCCTCTTTTATTTCGGAGTTTTAACAAAATGTAATAAATATCTTGGCACCTAACTCTTTGCCTAAACTCGTGACTGTTTCTTCAGAATAAATTTCTATGAATTAATTTCTGGGGAACGAGGGGAGGGGTTAGTAAATGGCACACTGATGACTGAAACACAGATACATAGGTGGATTAAGTAGAAAAGTCGAGAGTGGACCCCCACAAGGTGGGGTCCCCCATCACATGCCAAGGCGAAGGCATTGTGTGGTGGTGGGGTCCTTGGGGGGAAGCCTGTCCTCCCCCTGTGCCTGCAGTGAGCTTGGCCTCTCACGTGCTCTCCTCTCCCCACCCCGTCTCTGCTTCCACAGGTGTCTGCTTTTCCCGGCCCATCAGAGAAGGACCATGTACCAGGTGAGTATGGCATTTCTTTTATTTGTTTTAGATTTATTTATTTGATAGAGTGAGAGCACAAGCAGGAGGAGGGGCAGAGGGAGAGGGAGAAGCAGACTCCCTGCTGAGAGGGGAGCCTGATGTGGGGCTCGATCCCACGACCCTGAGATCATGACCTGAGCTGGAATGAGGAGTTAGAGGCTTAACGGACTGTGCCCACCCCCAGGTGCCCCGTGGCATTTCTTTATACTCTACTCTGCTTTCCTGGGTGGGTTTGGGGATGCGTCTAAAAATGCATCCAGTAAAAACAATGCAAACAGGACCCAGGGTCACTGAAGATGGGAAATGAGTAGAAGGAGGCGGCCCTGGGCAGGGCCGGGCGGATAGAGTTAGGAGCTGCTCTATAAACTTGTGTCTGACATTGCTGGCTCTTGGAAAAGACGGATTCCATCCAGTGTATGACTTGTGTTGTCTGTTGGGACTGGCATGTCAACTTCTTAGAGGAAATAAAGCTGTTTTCGGTACTGAGGAGTTCACGTGACGGGCCATGGCATGAGCAGGCAGGGTCCTCTGTAATGACCACACTGCGGCAGAAGCACCAGCAAAGCTTCTGCGACTTTTTCCCCAACTAAACAGTGGATCTTCCATCAGTGTGGAAATCCGTGAGCGCGGTTGCTTAAGGAATCAAAATTTGCACTTCTGCGTAAACAGCCTTGTGATGTCAGACTAACCTAGGGGAGACACCGCATTGTGCAGAGGAAGGAACGAGTCCCATGTTCTGCAAATTCCTTCTCATAGTAAGTTTGGACACAGATGGAGAGTGAACAGCTCAGTTTCAGTCTTTGGCAGGAGCGTGGAGGGAAGATGGGTAGAGCTCTCCTGGCCTTTTCTCCTGGGCTCTGAGGTTCCTCTTTTCATGACTTAGACCTCACACATCTGCCCTTGGCCCCCCTTTCTTATGGGGTCACTGTGATCTTCAGATGTCAGTGATGTTGTCTGCTCCCAGCCTGTGTTCTCGAATTAGTCATGACAGGTTCCTCTCTTTACTCTGGGTGCAGGAACTCGTGAACAGGAAGTATGCTGGCCAGAATCCACGTTTCAAGAGCCAGAAACCCAGCTAGAACTAGTCTAGAACTAGGCAATACCTAGACCATGGGAGGAGCAGGTGTGCAGCTGGGACTCAGAGACTGTCACATCGAGGAACGCAGGTGTCACATGGAGACTTTCCAGCCCCTTGCCTCTGCGTCTGTGACTTCCTTCTCATACACCAACATCATCCAGGAGGCCAGAAGTAGGCATGGCCCACACCCCACCCCCAGGAGTTCTGCCAGAAATAGGAACCGAGTCCCCTCACAGAGCCAGTTTGCGTGGTCTTTGGGAGAAACTCAGACTGGCCAAGCTTAACCCACGTCTAGGGCCAAGAGGCTGGGTCAGCAGTGGGGTGCCCCCAGGAGCACCACCTGCTCGGGGTGGGCGCAAAGGGAGCCTGCTAGCCCAAGAGGGAGCTGAGGCCTTGTGGACGAACATTACACACAGTATAGTAAGGATACAATGCAGGGTGGTTAACTACAGAGCCTTGGCCGTACAGTAGATCTTCAGATCTTATTCATCTTTTGTAACAAACACTGAACCCTTGACCAGCACCTCCCCGTTTCCCTGCCCCTCCCAGCCCCTGGTACCATCCACACTAGTCTCTAGTTCTAGGAGTTTGGCCATTCTAGAGCCCTCATTAAAGTAGGATCGTGCAGTGTCTGTCCTCCTGTGTCTGGCCTATTTCGTTCTGCATAATGTCCTCCAGGTTCATCGTGTTGTCCAAAATGAAGGGATGTCCTTCTCTCTCATGGCCAATATTCTGTAGTATGTGCACACCACATGGTCCATTCATCTGCTGAGGGACACTTAGGCAGTTTCCATCTCTAAGCTACTGTGAACGATGCTGCAGGAGGCATGAGAATGCAGGTATCTCCTTGAGACCCACATTCTATAAGATCACATCCTCTTCTAGCACAGAAACATTCATTTCTTCCTTCCTGCTTTGGATGCCTTTTATTTCTTTTTCTTGTCCAATTGCTCTGGCCAAACTTCTAGTACTGGGTTGATCAGGAGAGGTGAGAATGGGCCTCTTTGCCTTGTTCCAGGTCTTAGATGGAAAGCTTTCACCACTGAATGTGATATTAGCTCAGGAATTTTCATAAATGGCCTTTATTGTGTTGAGGTGAGTTCTTCCTATTTCCTCAGTTTGCTGAGAGCTTTTAATCATGAAGGGTGTTGAAGTTTGCGAAATGCTTTTTATGCGGCTGTTGAGCAGATTTTGTGATCTTTATTCTTTGTTCTGTTAATGTGCTGTCTCGATTGGATTTTCATGTGTTGAACCATCCTTGCATCCCAGGGATTAAATCCTACTTGGTCATGGTGTCTGATCCTTTTACTGGGCTGTTGAATTTGATGCGCTGATATTTTGGTGAGGGTTTTTACATCTATACTTATCATGGTTATTGGCCTGTAGTTTTCTTTTTGTGTGAGGTCTTTAGTTTTGATATCAGAGTAATGCTGGCCTTGTAGAAGGAATTTGGAAGTGTTCCCTCTTTTTCTGTTTTTTTTTGGGGGGGCAGAATTTAAGAAGGATTGGTATTAATTATTGTTTAAATTTTTGGCAGAATTCACCCATGAAGTCCTGGGCTTTTCTTTGTTAGGAGTGTTTTGGTTACTTCTTCATTCTTTTTATGTGTTTCTGGTATGCCCAGGCTTTCTGTGTCTCCTTGATTCAGTATTGATAGGTCGTATTTTTTTTTTTTTTTTAGAATTGTGTTAATTTTTTTTCTAGGTTGTCCAGTTCATAGGCATAGAATTGTGTATCATAGTTTTTCAGGATCTTTTTATTTCTCTGGCATCAACTGTAATGTCTCCTCTTTCATTTCCTATTTTATTTATTTCAGTCTTCTCTTTTTTTTTCTTAGCTAGCCTAAGGTTTTGTCAGTTTATCATTTCAAAAAACCAACTCTTAGTTTTATTTTGTTTCTATTATTTTCTCTTCCCTATTTCATTTATTTCTGCTCTAATCTTTATTTCCTTCTGCCAATTTGGAGCTTAGTTCTTTTTCTAGAGGTACAAATTTAGATTGTTTATTTGAGATTTTTTTTTCTCTTTTTCAATGTAGGTGTTCATTTCTACAAAATTCCCTCTTACTACTGCTTTTGTTGCATCCCTTAAGTTTTGGTCTGTTGTGTTTTCATCAGTCTTAGGATATTTTATAATTTCCTTTTTGATTTCTTCTGTGACCCAATGATGTTTAAAAATGTGTTATTTAATTTCCAATAATTTTGAATTTCCCCCTTTTCTATTACTGATTTCTATTTCATTTCATTGTGATTAGAAAAGATACTTGGAACAAATTTGGTCTTCTTATGTTTGTTAAGACTTGTTTTGTGATCTAGCCTGTGATCCATCCTGGAGAACATTCTGTGTGCTCTTGACAAGAATGAGTATTCTGTTGCTTTTGGGTAGAATGTTCTGTAGATATCTCTTAGAGCTATTTGGTCTATAGCGTTGTTCATGTCTGCTGTTTTCTTGTTGATGTTCTGTCTAGACGACCTACCCATTATTGAGAGTGGACTAGTTAAGTCCCTTACTGGTATTGTAACGCTTTCTGTTTCTCCCTTGTGATTTATCAATGTTTGCTTTATATATTTAGGTCTTTTGATGTTGGGTGCATATGTATTTAAAATTATTATATCTTTCTGTTGAATGGACCCTTTTATAATTATAAAAGGACTTTGTCTCTTGTGACAGTATTTGACTTAAAGGCTATCTTGTCTGATACAAGTATAACCATACCAGCTCTCTTTTGGTTACTACTGCGTGGCATGGGACATCTTTCTTCATCCCCTCACTCTTACCCAATATGTGTCCTGAACTCTAAAGTGAGTCTCTTGCAGACAGCATATACTTGGGTCTTTGTTTATTTATTTTTTTTATCTATTCAGCCACTCTATGTGTTTTAATTTGGGGAGTTGAGTTTATTTACATTTAAAGTGATTAATGGTAGGTAAGGACTTACTATTGCCACTTTGTTCATTGTTTTCTGTTCTGTAGTTTCTTTGTTCCCCTCCTCCTCTCTTGTCTTTATTGTGGTTTGAGAATATCTTATAGGGATATGTTTTGATTTTTTCCTCTTTATTTTTGTGTATCTATTGCAGGTTTTTTTTTTTTTTGGTGTGATTACCATGAGGCTTGCACTGAATATTTTAGACTTTTAGCAGTCTCTTTTAGCCTCATAACAACTTAACTTCAATCACATATGGCAACTCTACACTTTACTTCCTCACACATTCAGGCTTTGTTACTTATGTCAGGTTTTACTTCCTTTTATATTGTGTTTCCATTAGTAAATCTGATTATAGTTATTCTTATGTTTTTGTCTTTTAACTTCCATATTTGTGTTAAACATGATTTAGATATGGTTACAGTCTTACCACATTCAATATAAAATAATTTGTTGTTTTGGTCCTTAATTCATCCAGAGAGAGAAGATGAAGGAGAAGAGAAAAGAGAGCCAAGCCCTGTTCTGCATGTGTAGAATCCTTTTGTTCTTTTCCTCTTGTTGCCACCTTAATTTTGACAATATCTCATGTCATGATTGTAATTGTGCCCTAATTTTATTTACTCATTCTCTCCCAGTGATTCCCTACCTTTTTCTACATCCTGTCATCTCTTGTAGCTCTGCTCCTTAAATACCGTGATGGGAGTCCCCATTGTCTTGTAGGAGAAAAACCCTTTGTCTTGTGATGTATGCGCTCGTGTGCTCTCTCTCTCTCTCTCACACACAAATTCTACATTGACATTCCCAAGTATTTGCACTTCCTACCAGATTTTTTTGTGACGCCTTGCTTTTGCTCATGCCATGCCTCTTGATAGGAAATACCCTTTAGGGGTAGCACATCAGGACGTGCTGTTGATCTTTCATGATTCTGCACAAAGGCAGCCTCCAGTGAAGCTTAACTTGACATCAGACATTTGACTGCTGTCTTTGTTCTGTCCTTAATATACTTCCTCATAGCCATATGGAAGTCTTAACGTTTATCTCGCTCCACCAGACTCCAGAAGCTGTCAGAGCAAGAGTAATGCTGCGTTCAGCTTTCAACCCCAAGCACCAAGCAGAATGCCATTAACCTATAATCTTCTATAGATGCTCACACACTGAATGAATGAATGCATGAATAGAGATCCAGAAGCGAGATCTTTCCTAATGAGCTTTTTCTTCTCTTCCACAAAATATAGTACAGAGTTAGGGGCATGTTAAGTTCCCAAATCACTTAACATGGGGAAACCTGACATCAAAAGTGTTAACACCCATCACTGCTACACCTTTGCCATGGTGCTCTGTGCCAAGCATTCCAGATTAATCAGGAATGTGTTGTTCCAGCGGTCGTTGTCATTCAGAGACGTGGCTGTGGGCTTCACCCGGAAGGAATGGCAGCAGCTGGACCCCACACAGAGGATGCTGTACCGGGATGTGATGCTGGAGAACTATAGCCACCTGGTCTCAGTGGGTGAGGCGAGCTTCCCATGTTTCCCAGTTCTATCCGAGCTCCTTTCTTTTCTCGCTTACGCAAAACTTCTCAAGGACTAAGCATGTCTGGCCTTGGGTTTCAGTTCAACAAGGCTCTGGCTCTTATCTTGCCCGCGTTATTTGTGAATTTACCTCCCAAGTTAGAAACCCATTCTTCAGCCAAGATGGAAGTGTTTCTTGAGCCCCCTGAACCTTCTGCTTCCTTAGATGGCCCACGTGGCTTGGCATAGATCCTCATAACCAGGGATATTTCTCATCAACAGGGTATCAAGTCACCAAACCAGCTGTGATCTCCAGGTTGGAGCAAGGGCAAGAACCATGGATGGAGGAGGAAGAAATCCTCAGATGGAGCTTTCCAGGTGAGAGAGGACCAGCTTGCAGGGCAGGGTGGGGTGAGTGGACATCTGGTTGGTCACAGAGCTGAACTTCAGGTGGATTTCAGGCTTCTTAAAAAGGCTTGGATCTTTGCAAGCAGTTGTGGAAGCCTTGGCCCAAGACCTTGAGTTGCCCCAAATGACTCCCGCTACCTGCACACATCACGTGACGATACGGGATCACACTCCTTTCCCTGGGTTTTAGAGAAAGACCTATTCTATTTTTATTCTTTTATTTTGACCCTACTGTCCCCATCTGAGACCTTGCTTGCTCAGTTTTTCTCTAGAATCTTCAGTCTGACCCTTTCTCCCATGGTTGTGAAACAGATTTCCTCATGTTTTCAGGGATTTGTAGATCGTCCCTATTTTAAAATAACTTATTTTTTGCCACTCATTTTTATTTCGTTGTCTTTTCTTTTACCGTAAAATGCCTCAGAAACTTAGTTTCTCCCTTTTATGTGACTTTAAATGACTCTTCTTTCAAAACTATGTAACATGGCACCATTTTGCTTAATGGGTCATAAATTCCTTTCTCCCTGTCCCAGTATAATCCCGAGAAGAGTGTTTATCTTATTTGTCCTTATTCTGTGGGACACACATGGTGGTCACTGACTCTTCCTTTCCTCTTCCTTCTGGGACCTTTTTTCCTTCCAGGATCTTTTATCAAACATTTGTTTCAGGGACGTTGTTATTAATCAGGGATGCACACCAGAATCACCTGGGGAGCTTTAAAAACACCCCCTGGCTGGGTCCCAACCTGGGACACCATGATGTAGGCAGGGCGGAAGGTCAGTAGGCATTGATTTTGTCCATTAGGAGTTTGGTGGTGGGACTCAAGAAACTGTAACATTTCTAAACTAAGGATCTCCTTGGCTGCTCTGGGACTGGGTATGAGAGGTAAACCAGCAGGTACAGTTTGTGGTTTAAAATGTAAACGAAGCTAAAAGCAAATGAGGATGCAAGCACGGGATGCAGAATCCCACATTTAAGAACCTCTGCCTGGTTGCCACAGTGACGGGGACACCAACAGGCCCCTTACCTTTCCAGTTTTTCTCTCATTCCCTTTTACTTGCGTGTCCTCACCTTCCCAATTGACTGTGTCAAACTCATTAATAGCAAAGCTACGTGTATTTACTGTCCACAGTAAATCTCTCTTTTCAGTATCCCACTTTTTCCTTTCAAAAGCCAAGGGATATGGCGCCTGGGTGGCTCAGCGGTCAGGCATCTGACTCTTGATTTCAGCTTGGGTTGTGAGATCGAGCCCCGTGTGGGGCCCTGTGCTTGGCGCGGCGTCTGCTTGGGATTCTCTCTTCCTCTCCCTCTGGCCCTACCACTCAGGCTCACTTTAAGATAAGTAAATCTTAAAAAGAAAAAAAAGCCAAGAGACTAGAACGTGTTTGTAGTAGGTTTATGATTGTGATGATTGAATCTTGGCAATGAGGTGTGAAACCACAAAGTTAATCTTCCTCCTAAGTGTTTGTGAAATCATTTAGTTTTGGGTCTTGACCCTTGAAGGATTAACAAGTTTGTGTCATTACTTTTTTCTCCTAGAAGAAATTTTGCAGGTTGACCACCCAGTAGGAAAACCACAGGAACACCAAGACCAACTTCTGAGGCACGTTGTGTTCCTAGACAAGCAAGAACCGACAAAGAAAGGGCACCACGAGTGTAACCCAATTGAAAAGACAGTCTGTCAGGACACAAAACTTGCTCCTTCAAAACAGCAGGTCCATACATGTGACTCGTGTGGAAGGAGGCTACCATGCAATGTAGACGTCAGCCCCAACGCCTACCTTGCAAGAAGGCGATTTGAGTGTGACGGACAGGGGAACCTGTTTCTCTACTCCAAGCTCGAAACACCCCCTTCTGGAGGGCGGCCACGTGAGTGTGACCAGTGTCGGAAAGCCCTCCGTGGGGACCAGGCCCGGAGTGCCCACTGGGGAGCTGGCGGCGCCGAGAGAGCCCACAGGTGCCCGCGTTGTGGGAAAGGCTTCTCCTATGAATCAGAACTCAGGACACACCTGGATGTGCATGGGGGTGAGCAGCCCCCTGCGCATGGGGCCCAGGGGCTAGGCTGCAGGGTTAGCCGGGGAGGTCACCCCAGAGAGAAACCCGGGGGGGATGGCAGCGGCGGGACGATGCCATCACAGAAGACGAGCCTGTCATTGCCCGCCTCAGCTCTTGCAGGAGGGAAGCCTTACAAGTGCTCCGAGTGCGAGAAGACCTTCTCCCACAAGTCCCGCCTCATCGAGCACCACCGGTCCCACACCGGGGAAAAGCCCTACGGCTGCAAAGAGTGCGGGAAGTCGTTCTCGCGCAAATCGTGCCTCATCATCCATTTCCGGACCCACACCGGGGAGAAGCCCTACGGCTGCAGCGAGTGTGGGAAAGCCTTCTTCCAGAAGTCCCACCTCATCCTGCATCAGAGGACTCACACGGGCGAGAAGCCCTACAAGTGCAGCGAGTGTGGGAAAGCCTTCTCGCAGAACTCCTGCCTCATCATACACAAGCGAACTCACATGGGCAAGAAGCCCTACGAGTGCTCCGAGTGTGGGAAGACCTTCTCCCAGAAGGCCAACCTCATCCGCCACCACAGAATCCACACCCGGGAGAAGCTGTACGGGTGAGGGGAGAGCGGGGGCTTCAGCTCCCGAGTCCCGGCGTGTCGGTGGCGGTCGCACTTCTGGAGGTTGTGAGTGTGGAAAACCCTTCCGCAGGAAGTCCACTGCTGTAGGTGTGTGGAGATGCAAACCCAGGGGAGAGTGGACTAGTCAGGAGAATCAGGAAGGGCTCGTCTCTTAAAACCAATGAATGATGCTCTAGAGTGATACATTTTTACAGGGTATACCTCATTATAAAGTCTATCTGCATTAACTGTGGCTATAGGGCTTTGAAATCTGTGACAAAATTAAATCATTAAGACAATAGGTCTAATAAACATCAGAGCAATCCCAGGGGGCACATAGCAGGTCTGTTCCTGAGGACGCAGCCTAGAAAGAGTCTGATTTGTTTTAAGCCATGTTGGTAATTGACTGTAAATGTGAGCTTGTCAGGCAGATACACCGGAGTGGATGGAATTACCTGTACCAGGACGTCCCACATGAAATCATGCCCTTTTGTCTCTGTGACGTACTCCGTACCCAGAGCAGCAGGAGCTTATTAGGCCAGGACTCCAGACCCCAGACCAACATCCCATCCCATTTTTTGTTTGCTTGCTGGATCTGAATACCAGCCATTTCCTGGCCTCTCCTGACGATCTCTCCACCCACTGGTTCATAATCAGGTTTCATATCGTGTAAGGTTAGAGCTCCCTTTCCTGGCAAAACGGTGGTCCACCTGAGGCGAAAGCCATTCCACCATAAGTGACCAGAAATGATGGCCGGTAACAGATAAGATTCTTTTAAATGCATAGGTGGGCTGGCAAGAAAACTAGTGCAGTGTCCAGGTGCCAGCAAGGCAAGCCAAGCGGAGAGCCAAAGATGCAGTTGGAGGCCAGAAGCTGGAGTTGCCCCGAGCGTTTAACTTGGTTTACCCCAAAGCTCAGGTGTTTGAGACCAAAGGAGGACGCAAGGCAAGGCCGTGGGGCACACAAGGCGAAGAGTGGGTCCTGAAGTAACTTACAGAGTCAGAAATTTCAGAAGTCTGTACACGCAGGGAAAGGGGGGGGGGCTAGCGAAAAGTCTCCCTTGCTCCGGAACCTTGTCTGCCTCTCCTTCGGGCTCTGATGGGGAAAGGTTTACCCCGATGATTCATGAGCTCTGACCAGCATCCTGTATGAGTCAGAATTTGGAATTCCTCTTATTCCTGTCCCAGTCTTAAAACTAAGCAGTCAATATAGAAATTTGCCCCGTTTTGAAACAGATGACAGAAGCAAACACAATACGTTTTGGAGGGGAACACCCTCAACCCACATTTGCCGGCGTTTTGACATACAAAACCCCACATGACTTCATAATCCCCAGCTGCAAAACATGAAAAACCAAGCTACAGCGAGACGGATAACAGACACTTAAAATAACGTCCAGTATTTTAGGGTCATGGAAACACAAAATTCTAGAGAAATAACTACCTTCACAAATGATTGAAAGCAAAGACTTAAAACCACATGACAGCAAGGCACAAAGCCAGAGAGCTGGTCTCTGGCCAGGGGAGCTCACAGAGTGTCTAGAAATGAGAAATATGGGCATTGCAACGTGAACACCAAAATGCTGAGCGGAAAGCCCAGCGGGAGGCGATACTCAGCTGCAGAGAAAGGGAACAGAGTGGAGCAAAGCAGATTCCTAGGAGTCTGTCTACAGAGAAGCATCTAGATTAAAACGCTACAAGCAAGCAGGAGTTCCTAAGAGGCAGACTACAGGAAGACAAGAAAAGACGGCTCGGATCTGACAAGATGTGAGCTCACAGGCTCAGGCAGCCTGTGCCCAGGCGGGTGAACAGTAAATTCGCATCTTAGATAACGCACCTGTACCTGTCGACAGCTGGCTAAGTTGCTCCGAGGTATCGCAGCTCCACACCCAAAACATCTGGCCGAGCCGTCTGCGGGGACCCGCCGTCTGTGGGGACCCGACACTGTCGCCGGCCCCTGGATCGCAGCTGCAAAGCCACGAGCAAATGTGAGGTCCCGCATGCCTGCCTCCCACATCCTTGCAAGCTGTAGACTCCTGCTCGCCAGCGCTTGTCTGCCTTATGCGCCCCTTAGCCAAGACCCCCGTGGCACTTACCTAAACCCAGCTTCTCTGGTTTGAATGGACCAGTGTGGTCCTAGCCTACGGGCCCTAATAAAGTTGTGTGCCCTGGGTCCAGTCTCTTTCTGCTTTCTGCCTTGATGTCCCTGTGTGGCCCCTCCAGGCCTGCTGTGTACTTCTTGCCCTGCCCCCAGGGCCCCGTGAATAATAAATGTCTCTGATTCCTGTTCTCCTGTGGCCTGCTGTTGAACCCACCGACCACCAGCGCTCCTCTTAACAAGTATTAGTTCAACAAAGTCCTAACAGCTGGCCCCAGGAACAGGCTGGGAGGGTCCTCGGGGAATGACTTTTCCTGCTCCTGGCTGGCTAACTGGCTCTGCTTGGGTGGGCCGGTCTGTCTGGGGTCCCAAGCTTGCTGGCCTCAGCGGGCGCTGCTTTGCCCCGAGGCTGCTGATCGTGCAGAGTCCTTCCCATCCCAAAGTGCGAGCTGGGAAAGAAGCAACCAGAGTCCTCCTGGACCTGGGTGGACTGAGGCGGGGGGTGGGTTTGAGATGCTGTGAGTCTGTCTTCTACCTGTTGATGCCCCAACGAGTTCCCCCAGCGGGTGCCGGGCCTCAAGTGAGCGAGCTTCCCCACTCTGAGCACCTGCCTGACCGAGGCTCTGAGCACTTGTTGCCTGGGGTAATGGCCAGGACAGGAGTATGGGCTACAGTAGAGGGGCCCTATGTGCCCTTACAGGACAGAGAGACTCTCCTTCTCTGCCAGCTGTGCTCCCAGGTGGCCCCGGGACTCCTAATCTTTCCTGGTGCCATACGGGCCTTCGCATTCAGGGACCTGTGTGCCCTCTGTTGCTGTACACCTTGGCCCTCGACCCTGTGGGTTATTGTGGATCCCACCCCGGGCACATGGTGGCAAGGGATCTAGTGGCCTGATGCCAATGGTCCAAGCACCCCCTGCAAGGCCCGAGGAGGTTAGCAAGCTCCTCGCTAAAGTCAAAGCCCACAGATGTGGCCCTGGGCTGGGCAGCTTGCAGGACGCCGACATGCCAGGCCTGGGGATCCTCCCGGGACCTCTCACTGTCACGTTGCTGCAAGTTCCTCATATCCTGGGGAGGCTGATGGGGATACCCCGGAGAGGGAAGGGGCCACGGGGGGACAGCCACTGCAGACCTTTCCATTAAGGGTCTGTAAGGTCAGATCGGTGGGGGATGGTGGAGAATCTGAAACTGGAAAGTGTCGTGTGTCGGAAAGCTGCTAAGAGAGTAAATCTTCAACGTTCTCATCACAAGGGGGAAAATGCGGCAAATGTGAGATGATGTTAACTGTGCTTGTGATCATGTTACACTATACGCATCTATCAAACTGTGCTGTACAACTGAGGTTACTGTCATTACGTATCACTGATATCTCCAACATCAGTAAATAAAGGAAAAAAGAACCCATAACTTGATGCGTCTCGAGACTCGCCAGATTCTAAAGGACCTTGTGCAGCAGGAGGGGTTCGGACAGCTCCCGGCTGCTCGGTGGTGCATACCCAGTGGGGCGCCCCTCCTCTAAGCCCAGCCCCGGAACCAAGCCAAACCAGACCCACGCACAACCACAGATGGCCACGCACCGGCCCTTCAGAATACAAGACTTTCTCCTACCTGGTGGTTTCGGGGGGCAGGGGTGGGAGTTGCCTCTGGTGCCTGGAGCCAGAACTCGTATGTGCATCGGTACATCCCATTCTCCTCCTAGCACCGGCCTGAGGGAGACATGAAAGGTGACAAAGCAGGTGGTGTGGGTGGGCGGATAGCCAGACAGAGACACACACCCCCGCCCCCCCGTCACAAGCCATCTGAAGCAGTTGGGAACCCTGTGTGGCCTCACATATTCCCTTCTTCCCGGGCTCCAGGGCAGCCCCTATAGATGGGCCATTTCCCCAGCCTCTCAGACTTCCAGTGTCTGAATGGGACTCTAGGGGAGGAGGAATGTTTCTTGGAAGAGTTCCCTCCCGCACGATCTGGACCTCTGGCCCTGGTACAATCAGGTCTGCCGAGTTTTCTAGATGCAGTTAGGACACCAAGTTACAAGCCCGCTGCTTCCGAGGCTCCTTGCATTGACTGGTAAATTGGGCCCCAGAATTGGCCAGCTGAGGTTTTCAGCCAGTTCTGACACTCTGACAACAGAACCCAGAGGAGGATTCCATTGGACAGATTCTTGCTCTTGGTAGGACTCCGGAGCTTTGCCCCGGGCCTGTAGCCCGTATGTGAGACCTCCAGAGAACTCAGGAGCTCATGCATGGTTTGTTCCTCCCATCACATATTTATTAAGAACCACCAAGTCCACAGATTGGAACTAGAAGGACAGGGTCTGAGGTCTAGCTTTAAGGAGCTCACCGTGTAGTTGCGTGGGGGGTGTGGGTAGGCGAGTGGGAAGTGAGGCACATGCTGAAATTCTATTTTGGTGTCGCAGACTCTGTCACGAGAGGAGGAAGGCATGTTCACAGGTGGTAGAGGAGAGGAAGAAAGTGTACCAGGGGCATAAAGCAGCAGGAGCAAAGTCACGGCAATCCCGAAGTCTTGCCGTACTTGGCAAACAGTTGAACCAGCTGTGGTTTACTTTATAGACGGCAAAGTGCACAGACCCGAGGTAAGTATCTTGATGGGGATTTGTACACATGTATGCCCATGTCATGACCAGCCAGATCTAAATACAGAACTTCTCCGGTGCTTGTGCCAACCCCGACCCTTCTCCCAGGCAACCCCTGTTACGGTATCAGCCAGCACCGATGAGTCTGTCGTTGGCCTTATGAGCAGGGAGGCATTTGGTGTGTACTCTCCGAGCCTCGCTTCTCATAGTCAGTGTCATGGCTGTGTCTGCCAGCAGGAACACGTGTCTCTTTCTTATTGTTGTGTACAATTCTGTCACGTGAATACGCCACAAAGTTGTTGGTGTCTAGTTCTTTCTTTTTTTTTTTAAGAGGAGGAGAGAGAGTGGGGTGGGGGAGGGCAGAGGGAGGGAGAGAATCTTCAGTGAACTCCACGCCCAGCACAGAGCCCAATGTGGGGCTTGAACTCATGACGCTGAGATCATGACCTGAGCCGAGATCAAGTGTCAGATGCTTCACCAACTGAGCCACCCAGGCACCCCATCTTGTGTCTATTCCATGTTCATGAACACTTGGCTTGTTTTCGATTTTTGTCTATTATCAATAACGCAGCTGTAAACCTCTTGCACATGCACTCATTTCTCTTCAAATGGATACTGTGTGGCCAGACGTCAGAGCCGCTGTTCTCAGCCAGGGCTTCCCTCGTCCCTTGGGTGATG